GATGCACGACTTCAGGCTCAAAGAACAACACGATCTCAAGCCTTCAATGCTTTGCAGTGGAATTTAAGTGCTTTTAACTATAATCCACAATATAATTATGCATCTGACAAAGTGAAACAAATACTGATCTATATATTTCAAATCTACATTTTCACCGTGCAACGCCGGGTAACTCAGTTAGTAATATATAAAATTAAATGTAAGAATGAGAAATTCAAATGTATGTTATTTTAATTTCTAACATATAAATATATAAAATTATTATATGCTGTAATTGATAAAAAGAAACAGGTTCGATTTGTATAAGATGAATATATCATCAAAATTCCTGAGAGAGCTTTTCTGGCGTTAAAACATGGAAGATAAACAGACACTTGGATAAGTTAAATTCAGTTATAAAAATACGATTATTTGTTGAGAATATAATTAGTTAAACAATTGAACTCTGCGATCCCATGAATCACTATCTAAGTGCAAATAGTTTTGTCCATTTTAATTTTTCGCGTAATTATTAAAATTACTTATGTACTTCCTTTTCCCGAGGTTTTATAGCTAAATTCAGAGTTGGTTAATGAGAAAATATTGTTAAGTGACTTTAAACAGAGAAGTAAAAAGACAAAACATAATAGCAGTGGAAAGATATTTAGGTTTGAATAAGAGAATGTTTTTTATTGTAACTCCTAACATTAAAATACAATCTGATATAACAAAAAGAAAAAGTTCACATCATGTTTGTGGGTGTGGGATAATGTATTTTTATGTAGATACAGATTAATTAGAGAGACGGTGTAAGTGGTGTAAGAACGGTGTAGAACGTTTTTATTATTTTTAGAACACAATGTAAGGTAACTTCCGACCGAATTCTAACCTGAACTAGAAACTCAACGTCTAAAGTTATAAATATATTTCACTTGACTTTACAAATGCAATAAAAGTACGTTTGACGTTAAATGTTTTTACGATATTCCTCTTCGTGAATCCTTTACAGATTTCAAATCACAGACGTGTAACAATTAATGATGTTTCGGTCCTATGTATTATCTGTCAGGAAGCCTTACGTTTTATATTACATCTCACAAGCTAGGTAGTCAGAATTCTATCCGAAATACTGTCTGTAAGCAACCCAAAAACAAGCTTCAGTTTCGGATTGTAAAAATGCCCAAGTTAACATAGTAATGAGGCTCATTAGGTCTGCCAATCATGATTAAAATCACATTTGTTTTTAATCAACGGAATCTCCTAAATACCACTGTTTCGCTGACTAAACTTCCTTGGTTACATCATAAAAATGTTGACTAAATGTTTATATAAGATAATCATACTGCAAAGAATAAAATACTTGTAAATTATTTTAATACTGTTTGTGGGTATAGGAACAAATGGCCGATTTGTCTGAACAAAATATGACTTTTTACAACTAAATTATGTGGCAGAAAATACATTTCATCGCGGATACAATATAATTACTTACTGTAATATAGGATTTAGACGAAAGATTATCTTTCAGATCAAGTAATACAAAGAAATTCCTTTCATCTCATAATATAGACACTCTATGTCGTAATATAGAGTAGGATTTTCCAAAACTTTGCTTAGCATAACCCCCTTCTTCCCTTTTATCGGTTTTCGTACTCACTGCAACCTCCCCCTTCCTATATTATATTATATTTATAATACTGCATTCTAAAATATAAAACAATAGTTACAACAACGAACGGAACATAACTTTCAATGTTCCATATCTTTGTGACCCTCTCTGAGCGGAACATAACTTTCAATGTTCCGTATCTTTGTGACCATCTCTGAGCGGAACATAACTTTCAATGTTCCGTATCTTTGTGACCATCTCTGAG